ATGGGAGAGTGTGAACTAATTGTAGGAATTGAAAACAAATGTGGATTTTCTTTTCTCGATATTGCAGAAAAGAATGATTTTTGGCAGCAGTAAACTCTGGAAGGCACTACCTCAAGAAAGCTATGGTCCAACCGCTCGCGGTTCACCAGTGACACCGCTATATTCACCACATGGCTGGAGAATATCGTAATGCATCTGCAGCAGAAATCACAGGTTGTTTTTTTTTGGTGCCAGAGTGAAAGAGTGAAACAAATCAAAATCGCATGAGAAATAGCTCCCAGGTTTAATTTTTTCAAACTTTTATCACAGTTAATCAAAATTGATATCCATGTTAATCCAAATGGAAGAAATAATTTCTAATGGGGCTGCGGATTGGTGTTCTACCATTACAGACCTAGTACATTCCAGGAAGCAGGTATCTCTTTTTAGTGCGGTATCATATATGTGTGAAATACCAATCACCGCAGGTAATTATTAATACAGAAATTGATTTATTGATTTATTACAGAAATTGATTTATTGATACAGAAATTGTGAAGGAGTGTTTCTTAAATGATTCTAATTCAGTGTTAGTGACAATAATAAAAAGAAATAGCAATTAAAAATGCAAAATAGAGTTTAAAATATTTTGATCAATTTTCCCATTTTAAACACACCTCCTTTACTCTAATGATACCGCCCGCTTGAAATTGATAACCTTTGCTGCCCGCGTGAACTTTCTAACATACGTTTGCGGCCCGCGTGAATTAGCTGACCTATGTATGTGGCCCAGCAGAAAAAAAGGTTGAGTACCCTTGTGATCTAAACAGTCTATACAATCATATGTGGATGATCGTATGCTGAGATGTGAAAAATATATAGCCCAGACAGATATTTTTCTTAAAAATGCACCTATACTTTTTTAGTTCATTCAGTTGAATTTAATCTGCCTTCTACAAGTAGTTTCACGCAAAACTGAAACAGGAAAGTACTAGTGAACATCAAAACAGAACATCGAGAAGCAAAGTGCATGTAATGATAATAATTATATGGTTGACGTTAAATTGGAAAATACTAATAAGTTGGTTATAGTAACAAAATGACTGAAGGTATATCGAGCAGAAATAAACCGATGTTTTATTTTGGTTCAGTTTCGGTTCGAGAAGCCCTGATTTAAACTAAACTCAGTCTACGAAAGAATAGAAAGATTAGATGAAATTGAGTTTCAAGCACGTGGACTACTTAAATGTAGCCACTTATAAGCTTGTTTCGAATCTATTACCTATTTACCATGTATTAGTTTGAGAGTTAAAAAACCTCTGTTATAGTTGCAGGTGCTCCTTCAAATGCAATTTTTATCTGCTTTTGAAGACGATCGAGTGAATGTTTATTAGTCACACTATAAAGCAACACGAGAGCTAACAGCAACAGACCTAATAATTTAAAGAACCACAGTCAAACGACTAGCACTACCTCTAAACTACCTCACCACACCAACGTGAGAACTTTGAGCCAGCCCTTATGTGACGGGCTCACGCGTGTTCTCATTAACATGTCCTTTGGGTTCTTTTGGGGCCAAGATTAATGGAAACTCTTTTCCAACCAAAACCCAAGAAGTAAAACGTGAAGGAAAGATGCAAATTAGATAGCTTTTAAATATCAGAAGTTTCAGTAAGCGGGATGGCAATTTGGGGAATGTTGTGTTAGAAAGAGATACAATCGTGAAGTGACAGCCAACTAACTGAGATTATCCCGAAGATAGAACCATTAGGTCAAGGTGCATACCATTGCACTCGAGTAAAGACGCAACTTCCTAAGTATCGGATCAACGATTTGATTAAGGTAGAATTGACTATTTAATATTAGGACTGTGACGGCTCACGCGTCCTTTCTCTAACATAACCTCTGTGTTCTTTGACGGCCAAGATTAATGGCAAATCTTTTCCAACCCAAATTCAAGAAGTGAAACGCGAAGGGATAGATGCAAATAAGATAGCCTTTAAAAGGACAGAAGTTTTAGTAAGCGGGATGGCAATTTAGAGAAAGTTCAGTTTGTAAAAGGTAGAAGTGTAATTTGACGGCCTACCCAAGAATCACGGAAATATCACCATTACTACAAGGCGCATACTATTGCACTCGAGCATAGCTGAATATCTGAAGTTGATTGGACCATTGCTTGGAATTCAAGGTAGGAAATTATTTTCCGAATTTGAAATATTATTAGGATTGAGAGTAGGCGGATAATATAATTATTTAGATAAGTGATTCAATTGCGCGATCTGTGTTAACTACGGCTACGTGTTTTGGTTTATTCTCACTTAATATAAGTTTGTTCGATATATAAGTAATTTAAGTTAAACTCTTAATAAAAGTCATATTAAGAATTCTAAAATGTCTCTTCATTTCGAGAATCCCACACCTCTAACTTACGCTGAAACCCCACGATATGGTCGACAAAGATCGGCCATATCACAGGACTTGCGATAATTATTGGAATTAAGATTAGGCGGGTTAGATATTGATAGTGGTCCGAGTTAGGTCATTTCGATATTACTTATATTGTGTGTTTGTTCATCGTAGATTCTCTCATATACATATTTATAATCTAATCTGTTAAAAGCCTAAGTTTAAATTTTTAATAAAGTAATATTAAGAACATGGACACGTCTGGTCCTTTTGTTAATCCTACACCTCTAGCTCACTCAGATAATCCAGGAGAAGGGCACCCTAGGGGGGCATTTTCAAACTTGCATAAGGCGGGTCTTCATTGGCACTAGGGCTCGAACTTATGACATTCTGACGAAAAACTCGTGATAAGGATCACTAGGCACATCTGCCTTGGGAAGTATAAAGTACTAATTATTAATAATTGGCAAGCTTCACATGTATGTGATGAAATGGGAAGAAATGATACTGAAAGAGTGGTTGAGTGGTTTCTTCATTCAAAATATCAAAGTGTTTGTTGACTGTGTGAAGAGTGCACCCGAAATCGCTCGATTAACGCAAAATAATGACCTGTTGTTGGAAGATATATATTACCACTACGATTTCATAAGTCCCTTTAAAACTGCTATAGTCTCTAGTTACAGGACACTCGTAAGAAAAGTTAGACTTTATTGCAGTGTTACCCTTATTTCTAACCATTTTTGCAAAGCTTTTATTAGGAAAAAATCTGCAAATTTTCTCATTGTCTATGTGACTCGATTTTTAAATCCCACCGAGTATTCCGAACCAACAATGTACAACAATTTCTAAACTGTTCTTTCGCATTCAAAGTCAAAAATAAGGAAAGCAGCTTCACCAAGAAGAGATTTTGTTAGGAGAAATCATCCTTGAAAATTAATCTTTATTAAGTTTCCATTTTTTCTTTCGCCAACCACCGCTACGGTTATGATCGATTAGATCTTGGCTTTATCTTTTGACGTAATTAATCAACTCTATGAAAATGTATTCATTTTACATTTTATTTAGTGTTCCTTTTTTCCACGTAAAATAAAACATGTTCAAGAAATTTTAAAAGGGATCATCCGATTCCAAAATATTTTGGAAACAATATCTCAAACGCGAGTTCTTTTCTTTCAAAATAAATCTATCCATCTTTATCTTTATAAAAAAAAGCTTTTCTTGATGCTGTAATAAATTTTTAACGTACTTAAGATTAATTGCAACAGATGGCGCCAGGATATTTCTTTAAAATAAATTTACCCTTATTTACGAATACGACGCAATGCATGCAAATTACAGTTTTATAATTTGGTAATGGGTAAGAATAGGTGTATAAAGTGCACAATGGGATTGGTCCACCATTAGGCGGTCAGGAGGTTCTCCACCCCATCTAGTGTTATCTAAAGAAAGTTATATTCCTGAAAATAAATAATTCTAAATTAGCTTATGAATATATTACCAGTATCTTTCGTGTACCGTAAAATCCAGCGTATGACGCGCACTTTTAACACACAAAAAATAAGATCAAAATTAACGGATGCGCGTTATACGCCGGGTATAAAAACGATAGTTTTAAAAATAAAAAAAATTTTAAAAATAGGCTTCTACATAGATCGAAATGCTGCTTATTTAAAAGAAATGACATTCCTTATAACTTAAAGAAGGTTGCAGTTTTAAAAGTTTACTTTTTTTCTATAGCTTTAAATAATAGTTTTATGTTTTGAAGTCATTTATTCAGAGTATTGCATATGTACATTTCAAAGAGTTTCTAAAGAGATCTAAAGATAATCTTTCAAAAGAAATTTTGATCTTTGATTTATAAATTTCTCGAAACATCTCCAAACAAGTAATATAAAAGAAAATTTTCAAGTCAATTCCTACTTAGATCAACAAAGAAAAATTTTGTTTTTTTGGTTACTTTTTATTAAATAGTTACAATTAATATAAATATGTATATACATATAACAGAATCACAACATTAAGTGGTAATTAAGTTTATTAATTATCATTAAAGTATCATATTGTCATGTAAAACAATCGTGTCTATAAAATTTCAGTTCAACTGAATGCTTTAAAACGTGAGAAAAGAACCTTTTAAAGTTTTGACACAAGTCGCCAAAAAGGATGCCAACGTAGCTGTGTGTATTTGTAATTCTTTAAATAATTAGTTTTGATCAATTAATTTTTATTATTTATAAATAAATTACTATAGTGTCATCCAAAATAATCATGTATATAAAATTTCAGCTCAATGGAGCGCTTTAAAATGTGTTTTATTAACGATTGAAAATTCCACCAAGATAAATAAATAAAAATTAAATATAGAGAGA